CAAATGGAAGATCAGCTAAAGAGAAACACTAGGCCACTCCAGCTCACACTGATTGTCCCCCATAACTTATGCCATTTATTGTCTCAGTCTTTCATTTTCAGAGTTTAATGTCCAGGATTGCTATCTACCTCACTCATACAGTATGTATCCAACCTCTTCTATGAATGAGTGCCGGGAGCCGGTCCATGCTTGCTGTTTCAAGGGACCTGGCATATATGGCATACTGTTCTTAATATGTTTGCTCACCTTCTTGGCACTATGTGTTTTAACCAAGGTCTCTGAGAAAGGTTGTTTCCCCAGGTAGGGTATTTCCCCTGAAGTTAGGGAGGGAATAAAACCTCTTAACTAGTGCCAGGTGGGTAATTAATCACTTTAACTACGAACAATCATGCTTAAGCTACATAATCTTTACTCCCTGGAATGGAGAAAGAAACGCCCTAACCTTTGTAATAGAGATTGATAGGATTGAATCAACTGGTATAAATACAGATGTAATAAGACAGTAAGACACAGAACTTAGAATACGGAACCAAGAGAGACAGAACCTAGGCACAGAACCTATACAGAACGTTCTCTAGAGACAGAAGAACTTCGCTGGAGAGAACATGGCAAAAGATCCTGGACAGAAACTGGCCTCAGAACCTAGAGACAGAACCTAGCGAGAGAACATGACAAAAAATCTTGGACTGAACCTGACTACAGAAACTGTCAACAGAACCTGACTAGAACCTAGTGACTGAACCTGGCTGGAGAACCTGGACAGAACCTGGCTGGAGAACCTAGCGAGGGAACTTGGCTACAGAACCTGGCTGGAGAACCTGGAGAACCTGGCTGGAGAACCTAGCAAGACAACATGGACACAGACCCTGGCAGGAGATCCTAAGCAGAACCTCTCTGGAGATCCAGACCAGAACTTGGCTGGAGATCCTGGCTAGAGATCCTGGCTAGGCTGCTGATCAACTGAACGCTGTCTCCATGTCATCTCTTCTTCGCCGACTCCGTCCACACCTTTGGGGACCCCTGGACCTGCTGGGGTTGGACCCCGGCAAATGAGGCACTATTTTAGGCTCTTGAGGGAGATGGAGATATGAACAAAACACAGTCCCCACCACTACAATTATTTATCGATTACCTACTATATACCAGGTAGTATGATAAGCTTAAGGATACAGTGATTGGCAAAAACGGGCATGACCCTTCCCCTCATAGAACTTATTAGTGAAAGAGGCATACAGAGGTCACATATGTTGTGTTCATCACCGTATATCATACAACATATAGTAGGTACCTAATAAATATTTGTTGAATGAGTCAAAGTAAACAGCCAAATATATAATTGCAAGTTGTGAAAAGTGCTATGAACTAAACACAATAGGAAATAGTGATAGAATAGGGTAGAGAAAAAAGGTTGCCAGGTAGACCTGAGAAAGTTGACACATAAAGACCTGAAGGATGAGGAATAGCTAGCATGCCAAGACTGAAGATATAAGCATTGTAGGAGAGGGAACAGTATGGATAAAGACTCTGAGGTTAAGTCAGAGCCTGACATGTTTCAGTAGTAAGACCACAGTGAGCAAGGGGAAAGTGAGATATGATGAGTAGCTGCAAGAGAAAAACTAGAAGTAGGCGGGGGTCTTGTAGTATATTATAATGAGTATGGATATTATTCTAAGTGCAATGAAAAAGCATTAAAGGACTTTAAGCAATGAGTCATGTGATTGGACTTGTGTTTTTTGTGTGTGTGTTTTTTTAAATCACTCTCGGTAGGACAATTGTGGGGACAAAAATGAAAGCAAAGACACCAGTTTGGAGTTGCAATTATCTATGGGAGATGATAGCAGTTTGGACTAAGGTAGCTGTGGTAAAAGTGACTGAAATCAAGCTAATACTTTGGAGTTAGAGTTGACACACTTTCTGACAGACTGGATGTGGAGGACTAGAGAAGAGGAAAGTTAGGGTGACTTCCAGGTTTCTAGCTTATGTGCTTGGGTGGGCGGAGGTGCCATTTTTCAAATGAGGAGAATTAAGGGAAGGAACAGTCCTGGGGAAGGGTGTGCCACTGTTTATTTTTAACATGTTTTATTTGACGTGCCTGTGAGACATGTAAATGTCAAGTAGGCAGTGAATATTTGAATCTGGATCTTTCTAATAGGGAATACAGGACAAGAAAGTTTGTGATGAGCCTTATAAGTGACACAAAACTTAACATGTTCAAAGAAAATGTCACATCTGGCTGGGTAATTAGAGGAATTTTCAGGGAAAAAAGTTGACATTTGAGCCAAAGGGAAGATGTAAGAGAAAACATTCCAGGCAAAGGGAATGGAATAGCAAAAATCTTAAGGCAGGTTCAGAAACATAAAAATAGTTCATTTTGGATGGAACATGGTTTGTTTGAAATGCTGTAAGATGAGTCTAGAGAGCATGGTTTAATCCAGATGCGAATTTGTATTACTTGATGGGCCACTGGGAGCACTAGCAAGTCTTTGAGCAGAGGCATAACCTGATGATACCATTACAAGCAATTTTGAGATAGTGAGTGCGGTGGATTTAAGGAGTGAGAACAAGAGGCAAGGGAGGCCAGTTAAGAATCTATTTCAATGATCAAGACGAGATAATAAGAACCTAACTGTTGACTGTGGAAGTGGAAATTTAAAGGGCAAATGTGAGAGACATTTGAAAGAATTATGATTATGTTAGCCTAACAAGATAGACAGGAGGAAGCATCCACCTTTTTCTTCTGAGTGTCTTTTTCCTCCACAGTTTCATAAGCTCTAGTAAGCCTGAGTGACATTTTTCAATCTCTCTACCGTGGCATTTAGCATTGGTTAAAGGGCTTTTATCTAGTATGATTTCATTCTAAAGAGGTAACAAAGAGGTAGCTCTGGTATTGTAGTAAATAGATTCACACAGTTAACTGTTGCTGGAAGAAGCAATATGGGGTTGGGCCCAGAAATGGGCTGAGAGTAAGCAATAGTAAAGATGAGTTAAAAATTTCCACCTTTTTAAAAAGCCCTATAGCCTCTCTCTTTTACACACACACACACACACACACACACACACACACACTAAACCTTCAATTATCTGAATTTTTTCCTATACCACCTTTTCATCCATGTTGTCCATATCTGTGCAAAGCCCCATGTTCTCACAGCTCCCATCTGAAGAACAAGTGTCATTGATGGAATGGCTGGATGTGCTCCCCCCGCACCCTTCTCTGAGTAACATTTAAATAACTGGGGCCCTCAACATCATAGTCCAAATGTCTGACATGAGAAATAATCATGTGGTAGGCTAGAGCTGCAGTGAGGTGAAAGTAAGGTGACAGGGATATTTTGAGCACTTATTCTAATGGTGACATTTGGCTCTGGCTTCCTCCTATTCCTTCCAGTCTCATTGGAATATCTATGATGGGCCTCTTTCAAAGGAGATAAAATAAGCTTGGGAGAATCTTCTGAAGTAATTCTGCAGAAGAGAAACAAAAAATATCCAAAACATTCCTCTGGACTAGTTAATCCTTTTGTGATTGCTTGATCCCACCTCCCTTTTATTATTTCTCCTTTATAGTTTTCACTGTTGCTATGCTTTTTATGTGTTCAATGTTCAACGTCTTTTGAAGAGTACCTTGAACTCTTTGGAGAGCATGTGCTATATAAATACAATAAAGCAAGGAATAAACAATATGTCTAGTTTTACAAGAGTAAGATTTACTATTTCTGATAATATGAGATCTACCCCTCACTCGGTACTAGCCTGAAGAGTAGGTACGTTGTGTATTCTGAGGAATATCAAATAAATCTTCCTGCCCTAAAATAGCTCCCCCACTACCTAAAATCCCAGATTAATGATACTTTTTTTTTTAATTTGGGCCTTGAAGATTTCTTTTCCAAGAATTCCTTATTAAAATGAAAACAACACAGAGGGAGGTGAGTAGATGGGTAATGATTTAACCTTAGTTCCCTTTACATTAACCCATCATTCCTACTAAACACATTTTTCACATTCCAACTTTTTCCATGCCTTTGTTCATGCTATTCTTCCAGAGGTAATGTGAAATACAACATAAATTATAAAATTAACTTACACTTTCACAAGTCTCTCATTTGATATCTAAATCCAAGCCTACTCATTATTTTTCAAAGGATTTATTTTTTTCCAATGCAAAAAGAATAACAGGTTTATTATAGAAAATTTGAAAAAGGCAGGAAGATAGCAAGAAGAAACAATTATCAATCATAGTTCTACCACCTAAAGAACAACAGTTGTTAAGTGTGGTCATGCTCATTCTTTAAACAAACCTTAGGTCCCATTTCTGATGTGACTCTTTCCTTAAACTTCCTCCTCCAGACCTTCCCTATAATGCTTGTACTACTCTCTTGTACCAGTCAGTTAACTTGGTGTGTGTCTTGTGTTTCCAATTGGATTGTTAGATCCTTGAAGACTGAATCCATGAGTTACACTTGATAATTTATCCCAAAACACCTAGTACATTGGACCCAATATTTGTTGACTGATTTAACCTAAATGAATACAGACCACTTCAGAAAGGATATAAAATAGGCCAAGTCATGAAAGTTAAAGCTTTCAGGTCACCTGGTTGATGACTACTGCTTTTCTGTTCCTGAAAGTCTTGAAAGCCTATTGAAATAGCCTTTTTCCTCACACCAAAGTGAATAAGCAGCAGACTGATTAAGAGTGAGGATTTACTCAAAGATTATCTAAATAAGGCATAAAGGCATGAGAAAGAAGTGGGGTAGGGAAGAAGGAAGGGAGAGAGGAGAGGAGAGGAGAGGAGAAAAGAGGAGAGGGGAGGAGAGTAAAGGAGAGGGGAGGGAAGTGGAGGAAAGAGGAAGGGAGGAGAGGGAAGGGAAAGGAAGGGAAGGGAAGGGAAGGGAAGAGAAGGGAAGGGAAGGGAAGGGAAGGGAAGGGAAGGGAAGGAGAAGGGAAGGAAGAGAAGAGAAGAGAAGAGAAGAGAAGAGAAGAGAAGAGAAGAGAAGAGAAGGAAGGAAGAGAAGAGAAGAGAAGAGAAAGAAGAGAAGAGAAGAGAAGAGAAGAGAAGAGAAGAGAAGAGAAGAGAAGAGAAGAGAAGAGGGAGATGAAAGAAAGATGAGAAAGGGGTAGATAGAGCATATAGTCTAGTGTTCAATCCAGTATGTGATTTGCCTCCAGCACCGTATACAGGATCCCATCCACTTGTTCTGAGTCAAACCCGATCTCACGAAGCTCCAAGTGAGGGAGGACAGAAGTAAGGAGATAGCTGACGTGGATACGCAGCCGCGTAAGCTTTGCCAAAGCCCTGTATGATGGAGTGAGGGGGCAGGAGAAGAGATGACATGAAGTCATTAGCCAACAGAACAAAATGAAGCTCCTTAAAAATGGGCCTACATTTCTCAACAATTATGTTTCCATTAGCTACAAAGAAAGAAGAAAGCACAATGCCACCAAGCACAGGGAGACTGGCTGCAGCTCTCTAAGAAGTAATTCCTCAGTCCTTGGTGGCCTATGAATTGATTCAGACTTCCTCCCTTATTTATGACCAGTAACTGGGGTCCTAAGGGATGCTTCCCATTAGCACTCACAAGCTGATAACTAAACCCTAGTAATTAACCTTTCTAGGTCATCTCCCTCTGGGGTCCGGTAGGAGACCTGAGCCTTCTGCAGCACTTCCAGGTGTGTCTCTGTCTCCTTCAGTTTCTCTTTTAGTTCTTGCTTTTCCTCTTTGGTTCTTTCCAGCTCAGCTTTCAGAATCTGGAATTCAGCTTGGCGATAACCCATGTGTTTCTTGCTCCAATACAAGCCTTCCGTTTCCTGGGTACTGTAGGTCACCAATTCATGTTGAACTTTCTTGAATTCAGAATGCCAGTGATTCCTCTCCTGTTCCAGCTCCTCCACCTGCAGTCCAAGAAACAGAAATTCAATGACTCCACATGCTATAAGAGTGGCAAAAATTGTCCCTAATATAGTCACTCAGTGATTCCTCTGTACATATTCCTCTACTTATGGACCTTTTCAATCCCAAAATATAGGAGGGAAGCCCATTAGGGTTAACCCAATCTGAAACACACCACAGAATAATTCAATGGCTTATTTTGTTTAAAGGCCTCAGAATATGAATTCATCAGAGCTCCAAACTCTCAGGTCCCTTGGTTTCAATTACAGTGGGGACTTGACTTACGAGTTTAATTCGTTCGGAGACCGAGCTCGTTAAGGAGCTTGTTAAGGAGCTCGTTAACTGAAATTACTCTATCAACTCAATGCAAAAAATCGGCTGAGAGACAGCTGGTATCTCAAAAAACTCGTTAGTCAGGACACTCGTAAGTCAAGGCCCCACTGTATCTTTTATTCCTAGTGGTAAGGTGCTGCCCTAACCTTTTTAAAAAAAAAAATACTTTACTGATTTTTTACAGAAAGGAAGGGAGAGAGATAGTTAGAAACATCGATGAGAGAGAAACATCGATCAGCTGCCTCCTGCACATCTCCTACTGGGGATGTGCCTGCAACCCAGGTACATGCCCTTGACCGGAATTGAACCTGGGACCTTTCAGTCCGCAGGCTGACGCTCTATTCACTGAGCCAAACCGGTTTCTGTGTGCTCTAACCTTTTGCTGGAACAAATTCCTTTCCGCTAGAACACGTTCCAATTTTTCTGTGGTTCTTTTCAGTTCTTCCAACTCTCTTTGGTTCTTCAACTTTGGTGTATTATGACCTCCACTTTCCTCATAGCCTTTTCCTTTCTCCCCAGCGGCTGCAGCAGGACTTGTAGCAGAAGCCACTGTAGGATAAGGCATTGGGTTCCAGGATTCAGCTGCTTTTCTTCTCTCGACAAGCTCCTCTCGGTTAAAAGGGATCAGTTGAATGGGAGCTCCTGAATCTCGAATGCCTTTTGCAACACCAACAACAGCTACAAAAGGTCCCTTGTTTACTTCTTCCTTGTTTATGTTTGTGCTACCTCTGTTAGATTCTTCTGCTACCAATCTTGGCATCTGATCTTCTAATTCTTCAGGGAGCAGGGATCCCTGATGTTCTTGGGCTCCTGAATACAGAACTGAAGCCTCCCTACTTTGACTGGTACTTTTGCTTGCATCTGGGTATTCTGGGGAAAGATATGGTGGTGTGCTTCTCTCAGAACTGGATTTATCATGGCTGTTCTCTCCTTCTGGGTAGGCAACAGCTGCCTCTACCCTCCTATAAGAGCCAGGCATGGAATAATCTAGAGGTGTTGTCATCTCATTCTGGAGCCTTCTTCGTTTCTCCACAGGTTCCTCACCTAGGATCCATTTGTACTTACTATAACAAGAAGAGGAAATTAAGCAGTCAAAATATAGGCTAAATATATTCTTATCTTATAGAGCCCCTCTTCAGATTTCCCATATTAAAACTGACTCTAGCTGTTAGCCACAGCTCATTTCAGGTTAGCAATACAAGTTTACCTCTAAACCCCTACCCCTTCACTTATGTAGATTGCTGAGATAGCAATTGGTCTTAAGAGAGAGATGAAATCAAAAGATATGAAGAGTCAGCATCTGGATATAACAGGACCAGGTTGACCTTGGTAAGAATTCTGAAAATAGGATTAAAACCAGCCTGACTTAGAAGTTTCAGAAATGCAAGACAAGGAAGGAAAACAACAAAAAAAATACACATGCAAAATCCTTTAATATGAGAATGGGCAAAAAAAAATAAAGAAAATAAAAAAGGCCATAAAAAGCTTAGGGAGTATGTGGAGGAGAACCGAGCCAGCTTGTTAATTTTAAAGGGTCACAAAAACCTTCCAGTATCAAAGACTTATGCACATTTTTTTATATTGCAATGAACACCATACAATTCCTTTAACAGCCAACTGGATTGTGGCTATTGCCCATTATTCACTTGTAAAAGTTAATTGAAACATAGGGCCCTGGTCATAAACAAAGAAATTGAAACAGCCAATTCAAGTCATTTTTTCCCTATTGCAAAAGAATCCCCTTGTTGGGGTAAACAGGCACTCCCAGGATGGTGACCTCAATCACCTTCCATTTCTGGCTGCTATATGCTCTAAAGGTTGAAGGAACAAACAACTGGCACCAATGAAATCCATAGACAATGTTATGTCATGCGGCAGGATGGGACCCCTATTTTTATCCTTATAACTCTTCTGCTGTCCCTGCAGAAAACCAGGAAATTTCAAGGTAAAGATCGACTTTCAAATTTTCAATGAGAGTCAAGTCATAGTATTTCAAGGCTGCTTGTATTTCTCTGCAATTTCTGAGAACATCTATAAGATATCTCAAGCCTTAGCTCTTGTAACATCCTGAATGTTCTTCAAAACTAGTGTTCACCAGAAATAAAACTGGTCTGCCATTTTAATAGATCTTCTTGTGTCAGTCTTAGTGGGAAAGCAAAGGGATTTAGGGGCTATGTAAAAATAAATGTATCCATCTTTAAATGTATTTTAGGGCCACTGCAGATTGTCCATTTAGCTATAGTACTGAGGACGATAGTGAAACAATCAGTTTGCAAGTACAAAAAAAGAGTAAATGATACTAGAAAACAAAGTTTTATGAAAGGCAATGAATGTCAAATTTTCTTCCTTCTCTTCATTTTCCAATTTCTTTTTTATTTTTTACCTTGAATAATCTTTGGCTGGTATTTTATTTAAGGAGAACAAAACTTCCAATTACAAAATATATGTCATTCTCTATTTAAACAATTTTAGGCAATGAAAATTTAGGCAATCCATATCTGTTCTATGGATTTCTTTCATTATAGGTATTTTCATTTAATTTAAAATAATCAAAGAACTAGTCATCTTGCCTTGTTTGTATTTTCATTTTCCAATTTCTTTTTTTAAATTTTTTATTGCCTAAAGTATTATAAAGAGTATTATATATGTCTCCTTTTCTTCATTTTCCAATTTCTAAGTATTCTGTCCTTAAATCTCTTCTATACCTACAAATTTTTCCTTTGGTAATTTCATACAGTCTTTTGGTTATAACCTCTGAACAGTAACTCCCAAGTCATTCCACAAGCCCTGATCTCCAGTACTGGATTTCCAAAGGCCTGTTACACATTTCCCCCCCGAAAGTCCTACTGATATCTCTCAGTATGTATAAAATTGATCTTTCATTTTTATCTAGCTCCCTTCTCTCACCTCCATATCACCCACTGCCAAATTAATCTTCCTAAGTAAGGTATTGCTCTAATTATGTCACTCCCATATTTGAAATCTTTAATCATTGCTCCCATGTCTAAGGCCAACTCAAATGCCACTTCTCAATTCCTAGAGCATGTCTAAGTCTAGCTCAAATGGTACTTTTGAATTACTATAGCACTTTAGCCCTCTCTTACATCTATCACTTTTTACCATGTATGTGCAAGTATGTGTGCATGTGTGTACGTATATATCACAGGTTCCCTACTAAAGTATGAGCTCCTTGACAGAAGGAAGCTTGAGTAACTGTGCTAGATGGGAATGAGGGAACAAAAACTTTGCATGTAAGAGCCAATAAAAAAGAAAGTATTGTTTGAAGGAGATAAAAATAAATGGATTTTACTTATTGGCTCTGTAAATACTTATTAGTTTTATAAGTAAAGGTTCTTCCCTCAAGGAATCAATTGTTATTCTAAACCTGTATTCACTCATTTAGTAAAGATTAATTTTGAGTTTACATACTAGGAATTCTTTTCCAACTACATAGTTCTTTTGCACTTTCTTTCTTCTTTTTGTCACCTTCCTCCAGTGCTTGTCTGCAAAGAAGCCAGCTGATATTTTGATAAGAGACTGCACTGAGGTAAGCGCTGCGCGACGGAGTGCTCGCGGGCAACTGCAGCCGTGCCTCCGAAGGGCTGGTGTTGGCTCAGGGCTCCAGGAGAGCGGCGCAGGTCACACACTGGGCCAGTGACTGGTCTTGGGCCTCCACATGCCACAGTGGCCCTCAGGAGGAATGGCAGTTGTGGGCAGCATGCTTGACCTGTTGCGGCAGCATGTGGTGATAGGGGCTGCCCCTGTGGTCCGCTGCCTGCACATATCTTCGCGTCGGGCTGACAGCAGCAGAGCTTCGCTCACTCGTGTGCACAGACAGGCCTATGCACGCCTCTACCCCATGCTCCTGGTCAAGCAGGATGGCTCCACCATTCACATCCGCTACCGGGAGCCCAGACGAATGCTGGCGATGCCTGTGGACCTGGATGCCCTGTCCCCAGAGGAGAGGCGGGCACGGTTCCGCAAATGTGAGGCCCAGCTCCGAGGGAAGGAGGAGGAGCAGCCAGAGCTCCTTGACAACTTTGACCTGGAGCGGTACAAGCAGTTTTGGACCAAGAAGTGATCATACCCACAAGCTGCCCTGGCTCAGGATGCTGTAGAAGGGGAGGGCATTCATCTTTAAATTGAGTGTCAGGATTTAAAAAAAAAAAAAAAAAGAGACTGCACTGAATCTGTAGCTCAATTTGGGAAATATTATCATGTTAACAGCATTAAATCTGATCTACAAATATGAAATGGCTTTTCATTTATTTAGGTCTTATTTAACCTCATTCAACAATATTTTGTAGTTTTCATTATACAAAGTTTTGCTTGCACTTTGTTAAATATATTCTTAAATATTTTATTTTTCAAACAACTATACATACAATTGTTTTCTTAATTTCTGTTGTTCTTTTCAAAGAGCCAACTTTTGGTTTCACTGATTTTCTCTATTGTTTTTCTATTCTCTATTTCATTTCCATTCTGATTTTATTTCCTTTTTTCTGCTTGATTTGGGTTTAACTTGCTCTGTGTAGTTTCTTAAGGTGGAAGTTTAAGTTATTAATTTGAGATCTTATTTCAATTTTAATATAACCCTGTATAATTTTCCCTCTGAGGGTAAGGGAGAGAGGGATAGAAATATCATCCCATAAGTGTTGAGATATTTTGTTTTCATTTTTATCTTCTCAAGATATTTTTAAATTCCTCTTGTGATCTACTCTTTTACTCATTTGCTATTTTGGAGTGTTATTTAATTTCTACATATTTGTGAATTTTCCAAATTTTCTTCTATTATTGATTTCTAATTTAATTCCATTATATTTGGAGAATATCCTTTTATGATATCAATCCTTTTAAATTTATTGAGGCTTGTTTTATGGTCTAACATATGCTCTATCCTAGATTATATTTCATGTGCACTTGAAAAGAATTTAAGTTGCACTGTTTGGGGGTGAAATGTTCTGTATATGACACCTTCATTTTCTTAAGATACTTTTTAAGATTCTTGGTTGACAGTTTTTCTTTCAGTACTTTGAATATGTCATCCCACTCCCTTCTGGTCTCCATCGTTTCTGATGAGAAGTCTGGTATTATTCTAGTAGGATTCTCTTGTACATGATGCGTACTTTTTTCTCTCTGCTTTCAAGATTTTCTCTTTGCCTTTGGCTTTCAATATTTTCACTATGATATGTCTGACTGTGAATATCTTTGTGAATTCTATTTTTAATTATTTGAGTTTTTTGGATGTGTAGGTTAAAAGATTTAAATAAAATTTGGGAGTTTTCAACCATTATTTCTTGAATATTTTCCTACTTCTCCTCTCGTCTCCTTTTTGTACTCCTATTTTGCATATATTGAAGCACTTAATGGTGTCCTACATTTCTGTGAGACTGTCCATTTTTTCATTTTTTTCTCTCTGTTCTTAGCATAATCTACAATTAATATATCTTCAAGTTTGCCGATTCTTCTGCCAAATTTCATGTGCTGTTGAGTCCTTTTAGTAAAATTTTCATGTTAGTTATTGTAATTTTCACCTCCAGAATTTCCATTGGGTTCTTTTTTTAAAAAAAAATGTTTTTATTGATTTCAGAGAGAGAGAGAGAGAATTATCAATCTGCTGCCTCCTTATGACCCCCACAGGGAATCAAGCCCACAACCCTGGCATGTGCCCTGACCAGAAATCTAACCATGACCTCCTGGTTCATTGGTCAACCCTCAACCACTGAGTCACACTGGGTTCGTCAAGAGCAGTTTCTATTGCCTGCTTCTTTTGTCCCTATGTACATGTCACACTTTCCTGTTCCTTTGCATGTTTCATAATTTTTTTGTTGATAACTGGATATTTTAGATAATATAGTATAGCAACTCTGGATACTAATCCTACCTCCCTGAATGGTTTATTTGTTTGTTTGGTTGTTTATTTAGTGACTTGGTTGAACTGACTCCATGAAATCTATTTCTCCTGCAGCATTCTGCTCAGATTTCTTCTTGATTTTTATCTTTTACCTGACAACCTTGGAGTCACCACTGGGTCAGCACAGTCCACTTATTGGTCAAAGGTTGTGCTTAAGCCCTGATAGCTAGTTAGATTTTCACTGGATGTATGTGTGGCCTAGCAACTGTTATCACAGTTAAAGAAATTTATGTTTTTACCCCACTTTCATCCAGGTAGTATAGTAGTTTGAATTTTCCCTATCCAATAATTACTGAGAAGGCACAGCCTTGAGCATGCACATAGTCTTCCAGATTACCGAGGGTATGTGTAATTTTACTTTTAGCTTGGCTTCCTAGGAGTTGCCCCTGGGTCAGAGTAGCTTATTGTTCAGCCAGTGGTTGGTTAGAGGTTGTGTGTAAGGCCCTAGTGCCATTGAGGCTCCTGCTCTTTGTTGTTTGATTGGTGTGAGGCTTGGGGACTGCTTATGTATACCTTATGTCCTGATCTGATTGTTTCTAAGAGTGTAGCCTTGTGCTTATACATAGTCTTCCTAACCCCTAGGATGACTGTGACCCCAAGATAGCTCTTCTTAACTACCTTTTTCCCTTGGTTCTCTCTGTTTCTAAACATCTAATTGTTCAACTCTTTTGCTTGTTGTAACTTGTATTGTGGAGCTATGAGTAGCCTCTCAATTGTTCTCCACCATAATTTCCTTTATTTTTTATAATGCCCTTAGGAATGGAATTCTCCATGATCTGTTATAGGTAATGTGCATTCTTGCAGGGAGAGCTGAGGAGTTCTTCATCTTTAAGGCCTGTCTCTCTCCCTAAGGAAAAGGCGGGAATAGGGAAAGTGGCCCACTTCTCCAAGAGTGAAACCTTTTTATATTAACAGGTGCTGGGATGGTTTTTTGTTTGTTCCTTCTAGCATAAACCCCTGTCCTACAAGCAAGCTGGGATAGGAGTAATAGCCCATGCCTTCCCTAGGTGAGTACTTTCACCATGAGTTGGGGCTGGATGGGGGAAGAGAAAGCTAGCTAGGAGAAGAGACCCAGTCTTTCTTGGGTCTGTCCAGAATAGAGCTTCTGCAAGACAGAACTGGGGGGGATGAGAAATGTCAGAGGCCTGACCCTCTCAAGTAAAACCATAGCGGTAGAGTAGGAGCCAGAGGAAGATAAAGACCCCAACTTCTTGACCACACCCACCTGTATTAGAGCTCCTAGAGTAATTTTAATAAAACATAGCTTGGAGGAGGATGGGAACAGGCTAAATGCCAAAGACTCTTGCTTTTCTTTCTTAGATTTAATAAATTTCCTGAATAAATGTTTCTCCATGATCTGTATGTCCCTAAGGCAATTTCCAGGAACTTAGAATGATTGTTTTGTTTTAGTAACTTCTTCCAGTTAAATGGTTATTTGTTGATGAATGTGCCCACTACACTCCTCATTTCTCCATTTTGGAAGTCTCTCTCAAAGAACCTATTTTAAAATGTGAATACTGGCCCCTGAATCAACTTATTCATTAGAAAAATTGTTCTTTTATTTCTATCTCATATTTGTTGTTTCAAATATTCCTTTAAACATACTAGAATGTCTCTCCTTTCCTTCCACTATTACAATATAATTTGGGTTTTTTTTGTTATCCTCTTAAACACAAAATAATTAGCTTTTGACATATAACTTACTCAAAGGCTTTCTAAATATATAAATAAAATACAGCCACCAATTCTCTTCTTTGTACATATGTTTATGACTACTTTAGACCTTATTTTGTACTACATGAAACCTAGAATGTATTGAGGATAACTACATATAAAACTTTGACTATCATAAGCTCTTTCATCTTTGACTCCATCATTGCCTTAGAATACTGTCTTTCATACAGTAAACACTCAAATATATGCAGAATGAGTGAACAGAAAGGGATGATTTACATTAAGAGAAATAAGCTATCTTTCCCTAAAAAGTTATGCCTGTTTCATATTGGCTGAATCTATTATCTATTGCAGGTGCTCCACTGCTCTTGTAAGATTTGTGAAACTCATAAAACTATTTCCAATGACACCTTGGGAGGCCTTAGTAGGTCAAATAACCTAGCCCACTAGGAATTTTAAAAACTTTCTTCTATAGAAAAGGCTTTATTTTATCTAGAGTTGGAGAATTGTACTCCATGGCCCAAGGATCCTTATCACCTTCAGGTTTTGATAATAACAAAGGATACCTTTGTAACTCTTGACTAAATTGATAATTCCATTAATATTGTTTTATTGGAAAACCTTGTATATTTCACTGAACTCTTGAGCACCATCATGTTCCCTTATAGAAAAGCAGACTCCTTCCAATCAACCTGAATCCCTCTATACATGTAGTTTGAAATGACATAATAATCATTTAGTGACCTTACATAAAACATATGACATCAGCAGCAACATCAATTATCACGTATTTCTTTCTCTTGAAAGAATATTACTCTCAAATTAAAACTACACATGAAGAATCAAAGTATTTTACCTGTCCTCTATAGCCAAAACATAACTCAACTCAACTCTGGGCACAACAGTTCCACAAGGACTTATACAAAAATATCAATAAAGACTGATAAAGTATGCCACCTAATGGATGAACTGACATACTGCACTCATAAAATACACACATAGGTTAGCATTTGTAATCTCCTTTAGGTTACTAAAAGTCACTACAGAGTAATGAAAGAAACACTGACAAAAAATGGAAATTGGTCAAATCAGGTAAAGTAGAGCCTTCAAGATCAATGACACCTTAATACTCCAGTAGCAATTCTAATACAAGATCATTTCAAGGAGACTGAGATAGAGAGTTAACAACGTACTTCAAAAACACACAACACTTTATTGTACAACCTTCCCAACCTACAATGGGAGCTAGAAAACTACAGATGGGAACAGAGAATTACCCTCAAGCCCCTGATACTGACTATATTTCTCACTCCCTTGCTATATAGTTCAATCTTAGAAACTACTCCTTCCATATTACTCAAATTCAATCATTAGTTAGTAAGTACTTCTAAATTTTTTCATACAAGTTCTCATTTAATTCCTTTAGAACAGTGGTTCTCAACCTTCTGGCCCTTTAAATACAGTTCCTCATGTTGTGACCCAACCATAAAATTATTTTCGTTGCTACTGCATAACTGTAATATTGCTACTGTTTTGAATCGTAATGTAAATATCTGATATGCAGGATGGTCTTAGGCGACCCCTGTGAAAGGGTCGTTTGACCGCCAAAGGGGTCGCGACCCACAGGTTGAGAACCACTGCTTTAGAATTTTATTAGTTTTGCTCCTAATAGCTTACTTCCTCTTGAGACTTTTTGTTCATGTTCAGGGGGGTCATGGGGTTCTTCCAATATCTACAGGGCTTAATTGTGGAAGAATCACTGAATAGGGGACTTGCACACATGTAGAGATGTTTGTCTAGATGAGAAGCTGAAAAGACTCACCTAAGAAGCAAGAAACAAGGAAAAATATCAGTAACATTGGGGGGGAAGGGGCGGGAAACAGGAGTCATTTTTACCATATCATGTATTCCATTGCATCTATCCTAAGTTAAGAAGATATCCAAAGTGAAGAGGGTAAGTGGAAAGTTCACATTACTGATGACTGTAGAAGTTTCTACTATTAGAGAACAATTCTACCTGCCCTATGGCTTGGCTCTACCAGAAGTGAGAAGAATAAGAGAGAGGAGAAAGCAAGTTTTAATCAGAGTCCTGAGTTCGTTTCATGGCATTATAGGGGCAGTCATAACTTTCAGTGCTTCAAATACTTCTGATATTTAAGAAAAGATGTGCTCCTTCCTGTTTTACAGACTAATAAAATAATATTGTTGATGAGCTAGAAGATGAACAAGTAAAGCCAAAAACTAAACTTATACTAATAATTTACTCTAGGAAACAATGAACTAGAAGGCTTACCTAATGGCACAAAATTCTAATGGTTATTTTTATATGTGACCAACATGTGCTAGGCCTATGGAGACCCACAGGACTTTAATATTCCTAAACTCAAGGAAAGAAACAATGCTTATCTATGTAATTTTAGCTTACATTTGTATAGCAGATAGTACTTTTCAAAGAGTTTGCATGTCTATTATTCCACAAACACAATTCCCAGTATAATATGAATATACAATACATAAAAGAGCATTTGTCAGATGATCACCTCAAAAAGCAAATAAAAAGGATAGACAGGTTTGACATAGCACTTGTAATGTTGAATAATTGGGGTACATGCAGCACACAATTCTATTAACCCAAAATAGTATTTATCCTTCTGAATCCATGCTACGCCTAAGGAAAAACATAAATATGATAATCATACCACCTTACATTACAAACCGTGAGGCTTACTATTGAAGAGAGACTATGTTTTTTACTCACCTGGAAAATTGGAAAACACTGGAATCCAGAGGCTTAAGTTGAAGAGGAGGTGTTTTGCTTCCTTCTCCAACAGATGGAAACCGGCTAGGGCTATCAATTTCTTCATATCCAATTGTTTGATTATTTAATTCATCCATGTCTTGAATAGTAGGGATCGTCAGTGGATTAGTGAATACCTAGCAAAGAAAAAAATGATGCATAAAAAATCCCAATTCCAAACAAAATACCAAAGGATGAGTCAATCCTTCTGATGCTAGGAAAGAACACTTAGCCAAATAAAAAGAAACTGTTTCCTACAACAGAACAAACAGCACGCAGTAATGTACACTAGAACACTGAACCCAGGCATGTTCACTTATAACCTAATCAGCTGGACGCCAACAGACCTCCCCAACTCACTTATTGGCTCCTTGAGTCATCCCACCCACAACATAAACCCAGGCCCCCTAGTCAGTGTCTAATTCTGTCTTTTGACCCAGTTTAAAGCTGGATTTTCACTCCTCTGAGATCTGTGATGAGGGTAGGGATGGAAGGGATAAGCATTGCAGCATGTGTCGGTGCTGGTTTTGGAGAAATGCATGCGAGACATTAACATGTATTCATAGTGCACACACACAGAGACATGCATCTGGGATCTGTGGCAGAGCCAGCTTATGAAAATAGTACGAATGATGAAGGTGAAGGAATATAAAGGGGAGGTAAACTGAATGAGGACAGGGCAGTCCCAGGAAATCTCCCAATCTCTACATCAGACTCTTAAGCAGGGCATGAAACTTGAATATTCATATAACTGGGTCTTAGTAAACTGTCAGAAGAAGAATTAGTATTAAATTGCCTCTATCCTCACCAGTCTGACCTACCCTGATTGAGTGGGTGAAAGGTGAATCTAACATGCGACTAGTAGATATCTCTGGGAAAGAGGGTCAAAAGGAAAATCATGCAGAAAGGCAAGATTGGGGGAGGGGAGATAGATGGGTGCTATGGTGGCTGTCAGAAAAGGAGTGTCCCTGAAAGGACGGCCAACCTTATTGCACCCTTCAGCGTCCGGAGCTGGGCAACCATGTCCGAGAGACAGTGCTCCTGAAAATTCAAAACAGCAGAGTCTTTATAAAGCCAGCCAGCCTGAAAGCAGGGATGGGAGAGGGGCACAAAGAATCACCCTTCTTCCCAAAAGGAAGGAGGAAGAATCACCCCTGAATCCTGGAAGAAAAGAGACTGAGGAAAACCAGACACTCTACAGGAGCAGCCTGTATGAGGATGGAACATAACCTGAAAATTCGGTGACACAGAAAGTGACCTTCACACTGTCCAGAATCAGTACTGAATTCAAATCTGGAAAATGAATGATTTGGCTCTTCTATTTTCGGTGATCTGAACATCAGTAACAGCAGATCAAAGCAAAATAAAAAGATCCAATGAAAAAAAGACCACCAGAAGAAATGGTTCATTATTTCTATGCAGCTTTCAAGACTGCTGCTTCCTTCAACCTATGTCCTCTGTTGGGGAAAATTTTGTTCAGAAAAGGAAGAGGGTGGACTGTCTCTCACCTGGTGGTCCTCATTTTCCAATGGCACCTTCTTCTTCTCAACAGTTTGATCTCTAGGAGAAGATAAAAGTGCTGTTTAGTTCACTCATGAAACTTCTCAGTCTAAAATGGATCACCAATTGTATATTTAGGTTTTAATGTTCCTTCCAAATTAGAAATAGGGTGGGCTTCATTGAGTTTCTAAGGATGCCTTCCTGAACTCTGCTACTGCAGGGAAATTTCAGATGCCCCATTGAAACAGAGAGAGGGGGAGGAAAGGGAGACTAAAGACAACCACTAGTTGAGAAACTCAGGAGACGATTAGAATGAATAAAAACTGGGAGAACAAAGAGGTGAGGAGGGAAATAATTAAACAATGAAAAGGGGGGGCAGGCATCCTTCTTTTCAAAATTCCCCTATTAGAAAGAGTCAGCCTCCTCTACTATATAATGCAGAATACTATCTTAGGTATACTCAACTGTTTCTTAGCTTTGCTCAAGTACAGGTCTTCATCCATGAGTTCTTGTTCCTCTGGAACAGAGCATCTCCTGCAGTATAGAGAAGAAATCATCTTTTGGAAACAAAATGTGTCCTTCGCTTTTACCCTTTACTGTCATCACAATTATAACAAGGCAGCTTAACAACCTTCCAACCTTATAAAGCTCAGATTCCACCCACATTGCAAAACCTGTGTGTAGGCTAATGTGTAGCAATTCTTATTTCAAGGCATACAATCATCTAATTATATTGGTACATATATCACCTTTCTCCCAATCCATTCAAAGTACTTGACAACTTCAAAATTCATATTATGGTGGACAGCACAAAACATAATCTCTATGCTTACACGGTGAAGCTCAAACACATAAGAGACTTGCTTGAAGTTCCATACAAAGAGAATGTTGCTGAAACCAGAACCTACGTCTGTTGCCTGTCATTTACTAAGAAATTCCCAAGATGCAATATAGAAGCATGAGAATTCCTAAACTAGGTGATGCCTGAAGAAGAAAATGAAAGGCTATGATAGAAAGCAACAACAAGGAACTAGGAGCTTACATCATAAAAAAAATAGAACAGAGACTAGCAAAGAGAAAAAAGGAAGATTCTATAAATGAAAAGATATACATATATTTGCTATATGTAAAGCACAAGGAAGAGAGTTTTAGAGGAGTAAAAACCTGAAGAAAGTACTAGAAAAAGTATTCAGTGGTCAAAAGTAATCCAAGAAACAAATAGAAATTAATAATAATTAGAAACTCTATGCTATATAAGGGGACAAAGTATCCTGGAAAGCTATTTCTCCTGGACTAAGTGTAAATCAATAGGAGATACAGGGTTAAAAAGTGAGACTTCTATGCACTCAGTCCCATATTCTATCATAATCTCAGTTACTCTCCATGAAGCTTAGGCACAGCTGGAGATTATGAAGAAATGCTTACTCATTACAGACCTAGACATCATTTATTTGATTTCCTCCATTTTAAACATTTTCTTCTAAAAGGCATACTGTTTCAGCCCTTTTTATTTTATTTTTATTTTTAGAGCACGTTTATTAAAGCTGGGACAGTGAAATAAGAAGCAACAACAGGAAAGAGCCTAGGCAGGTCTGCTTTGACTCACTGGAAAGTCAGAGAAAAGGGGACCTTGGAGACAGGTTCAGGGGTTAACCCAGAACAACCTGCCACTGCCCATTGCTCCTCTGGTTGCAAGTCTCATAGGGACCCTTAGAGTTTAGGAGATGCAAGCCTGAGAGGGAATAAAGGTGTAGATGTGCTCTTGGGAGGCATAGCGCCTAGTACTTTTTTTCTATCAGCATTTATCCTGAGGAGGGAAAAATTATATCATAGCCTAAAAGAAGCAAACTAAGTTATTATTATAAACACTAGAGGCCTGGTGCACAAAAATTTGTGCACTTGGGAGCGGGGGGTCCCTCAGCCCAGCCTGTGCCCTCTCGCAGTCTGGGACCCCTCGGGGGATGTCCACCTGCTGGCTTAGGCCCGCTCCCAGGGGGATCGGGCCTAAGCTGGCAGTCAGACATCCCTCTGGCAGCCTGGGAGCCCTCAGGTGATGTCCACTTGCCAGCAGGGAGCAGGCCTAAGCTGCAGTTGGACATCCTTAGTGCTGCTGAGGAGGCAGGAGAGGCTCCCGCCACCACTGCTGTGCTGGCAGCCATCAGCCTGGCTTGTGGCTGAGCAGAGCTCCCCCTGTGGGAGCGCACTGACCACCAGGGGGCAGCTTCTGCATTGAGCGTCTGCCCCCTGGTGGTCAGTGTGTGTCATAGTGACCAGTCATCCCCAGACATTCTGCTGTTAGGGTCAATTTGCATATTACCCTTTTATTATATAGGATACTAGAGGCCCGGTGCACTAAATTCGTTCATGGGGGCAGGAGGGTTCCCTCAGCCCAGCCTGCACCCTCTCCATTCTGGGACCCCTCAGGGGATGTCTGACTGCTGGTTTAAGGCCTGAGGATCGGGCCTAAACTGGCAGTTGGACATCCCTCTCACAATCCAGGACCGCTGGCTCCTAACTGCTCACCTGCCTGCCTGCCTGATCACCCCTAAACACCTCTGACTGCTGGCCTGGTTGCCCCCAACAGCCCCCCTCTGCTGGCCTGATTGCCCCTAACTGCCCCCCCCAGCCACCTGGTCACCCCCTTACTGCCCCCCTGCAGGCCTGGTCACCCCCAACTGCCTCTACTGCTGGCCTCATCGCCCCCAACTGTCCCCCCCTGCCAGCTTGGTCACTCCTCATGGCCCTCTTCTGCCAGCCTGGTCGCCCCTTACTGCCCCCCCCTTGCTGGCCTGGTTGCTGCCAACTGTGTCCCCTGCCAGCCTGGTCACCCCTCACTGTCCCCCTCTGCCAGCCTGGTCACCCCTCACTGTCCCCCCTGCTGGCCTGGTTGCCCCACACAGCCTGCTGTTCGGTCGTTTGGTCATCCCTCACTAACCCCCCTGCTGGCCTGGTCACCCCACACAGCCTGCTGCTCAGTCGTTTGGTCGTCCCTCACTAACCCCCCTGCCAGCCTGGTCGCCTCACACAGCTTGCTGCTGTCGTTTGGTCATCCCTCACTAACCCCCTGCTGGCCTGGTCACTTCGCTCAGCATGTTTTGTCATCCTTTCAGTCGTCCGTTCGGTTGTGATGGCCCCTGGCTCTTTATATATATAGATGTGACTACTGAATCAAATAAAAATATTTGTTAAATTGAAATTAATTGCCATGGAAATCCCAGACATTATCTAGATGTTAGATGCTACAAGGAACATACAGTGTATGAAAAAGACAAACATGTAAACAAATAGCACTGCATGTACAGTAGGTACTACAAGAGATTCAGGTATAGGAGGCATATGAAGAAAACCATCAACTTGAACCAAAATGTAAAGCCCTTGTTCTTGAATAGCTTACAGTCTCTTGAAGAGCCAAAGTATATATATATGAAAAATATCCAAAAAATACAAAATAAGTGAATAAATGTCAAGAATTAAATTTCATAGGAAGCCAAAGTAAAATCACTGAAAAAAAATGTCAACAGGAAAAGTATCACACAAAATACTTATGCATCCAAGACAAATATGATTTGGATAGGCAGATGGAATGCATAAAGTCATTGTAAGTAAGTGGAAAGATACTATCAAGTCATGGAGGAGGGAATAAGCATGGCATGTGTGGGGAATACTGAAGCCACAGACCTACCTAAAGCATAGGGTTTGTGTTAAGATACAGTGAAAAATAAGGCTGGATAGTTAAGGGGGGACCAGTTGGCACAGAGGCCAGAATACCAGGCTGAAGAATGTGGACTTGAGATAAAAAGTGTTTTAGAATACAGAGACAAATCAGGAGTTATCTCTGGCATAATATTGAGTCCCAAGCTTACCTGTACTTTGGATGGGAATTATAGTAACAAAACCATCTTGCAGGTAATGTAGAAGGATCAACCTTCCCAGGAAGCTTCCTCCATTTAAGACACTCATCACACTGTACCCACGTCTGGTCAGGAATCTTCCTAAATGAAGGAGAAGAGAAGTATGACTGTGTGTATCTTAGCTCTGTATTGTATCTTACATTAGAAAGGCACAACCTAAAAGTGAAACAACATAACTTTATATATGAAATGTGTTATAATTGTTATAGTCTAGTTGTCTAAAAAAATTAAAAAATTATATATATACTAGAGGCCCGGTGCACAAAAATTTGTGCACTCGGGGGGGGGGGGGGGGGGGGGGGTCCCTCAGCCTGGCCTGTGCCCTCTTTCAGTCTGGGACCCCTTGGGAGATAACGACTTGCTGGCTTAGGCCTGCTTCTGGGTGGCAGAGGGCAGGCCCAATCCCTAGGTGCAGCCCCTGGTCGGGCTCAGAGCAGGGCCGATTGGGGAGTTGGGGCACCGCCCCCTGTCATGCACAGAGCAGGGTGGATTGGGAGGTTGCGATGCCACCCTCAGTCACACTCAGGGTAGGGCCGATTGGGGGGTTGGGGCACCATCCCCTGTCACACTCAAGGCAGGGTCAATGGGGAGGTTGCGGCGCCACCCCGTCACGCACAGAGCAGGGCCAAACAGGGGGTTGGGGCACTGCCCCCTGTCACTCACAGAGCAGGGCCCATCAGGGGGGTTGGGGCTCTGTACCCTGTCACGCACAGAGCAGGGTCTATCAGGGGGTTGGGGAGCTCCCCCCTGTCACTCACAGAGTAGGGCCGATAGGGGAGTTGGAGCACCGCCCCCGTCACACACAGAGCAGGGCCGATCAGGGGGTTGGGGCGCCGCCACTGTCACACTCAGGGCAGGGCCGATGGGGAGGTTATGGCTCTACCCCGTCACACACAGAGCAGGGCCCTTTGTTGGGGGTGGGGGGGTTGGGGCGCCGCCCTCTATCACCCACAGAGCAGGGCCAATCAGGGGGTTGGGGAGCTCCCCCTGTCACTCACAGAGTAGGGCCGATAGGGGAGTTGGGGCACCGCCCCCTGTCACACACAGAGCAGGGCCGATCAGGGGGTTGGGGCGCCGCCACTGTCACACTCAGGGCAGGGCCGATGGGGAGGTTATGGCTCTACCCCGTCACACACAGAGCAGGGCCCGTGGGGTGGGGGGGTTGGGGCTCCGCACCCTGTCACACACAGAGCAGGGCTGATCAGGGGGTTGGGGAGCCTTCCCCTGTCACGAACAGAGCAGGGCGGATAGGGAGGTTGTGGCCCCACCCCGTCACACACAGAGCCGCAGGGTGATCGGGGGTTTGGGCGCTGCCCCGTCATGCTGATCCCGGTGCCAGGAGGCCTCGCAGCTCTGCTGATCCCGGTGCTGGGAGGCATATTACCCTTTTACTATATAGAATAGAGGCCTGGTGCATGGGTGGGGGCTGGCTGGTTTTCCCTGAAGGGTGTCCTGGATCAGGGTGGGGGTCCCCACTGGGGTGCCTGGCCAGCCTGGATGAGGGGATGATGGATGTTTGCAGCTGGCCACACACCTTCAGGGTGGGTGTCCCCACTGGGGTGCCTGGCCAGTCTGGGTGAGGGGCTGAGGGCTGTTTTCAGGCTGGCGGGTGACTGAAGCTCCCAACCGCTCCTTTTTTTCTTTTCTTTTTTTATTCTGGGCCAGCTTTAGCTCTGGCTCCAGCTCTGAGGCCTCTGCTGCTGAAAGCAGGTATCTGGTTTGTTTGGGCTCTATAATCTCGAAACACTGTATCAACTCCAGCTCTAAGATCCCGGCCGGGTGAAAGGTGGTTTCTGAGGTTTTGTTTAGCTTCTATATTTGTTACAATGTTTCAAACTGCAAGCTCAGAGGCCGGCAAGGCAGGCGTGGAATGTTGGAGTCCTCCGTCACTGAAGCAAGCAAGCCTCATGTTCAGTTTAAACTGCCTGGCTGCCGGCCGCCATCTTGGCTGGCAGTTAATTTGCATATCACCCTGATTAGCCAATGGGAAGGGTAGTGGTGGTACGCTAATTACCATGTTTCTCTTTTATTAGATAGGATATATCCCTAGCTGGTTTTGCTCAGTGGATAGAGCATCGGCCTGCGGACTGAAGGGTCCTGGTTTTGATTCCGGTCAATGGCACATGCCTGCACTGCAGGCTTGATCCCCAGTGAGGGGCTTGCAGGAGGCAGCCAGTCAATGATTCTCTCTCATCATTGATGTTCCTCTTTCTCTCCCCCTCTCCCTTCCTCGCTGAAATCAATAAAAATATATTTAAAAATAAATAAATGTTTCTCTTGGTAATTATAAAATATCAGCCTAAGAAGTTTATATCTTGAATGTCACAGAAAAAAATGATAGAACTATGCTAGATATGGATATGAAATATAGTAACAAATATTAACATGGTGAGCTACCATTATTTATGTAGGTCAAAATTATTTATCCTGGAATCTCTTGCTCTAAGCAAGCAAGAGGATAATTTTCATTCTAAAATTAATGAATAGGAAAACATTTTATATATTACAATAATACCAAGAAATAAAACCCAAAGAATAATTTTATTTGGCTTATCCAATTCTGTGACAAGTTTAAAATGGGGAAGGGAGTAGGGAAGCGAGTAACCAAAGAATTAATATGCAGTCCTAATCGGTTTGGCTCAGTGGATAGAGCATCAGCCTGCGAACTCAAGGGTCCCAGGTTCGATTCCAGTCAAGGGCATGTACCTTGGTTGCAGGAACATCCCCAGTGGGGGGTGTGCAGTAGGCAGCTGATCGATGTTTCTCTCTCATCGATGTTTCTAACTCTCTATCCCTCTCCCTTCCTCTCTGTAAAAAATCAATAAAATATATTTAAAAAAAATAAAAATAAAAATCATCATTCTCCCCTTTAAAAAAAAAAGAATTTATATGCATAGTCCATGGACACAGACAATAGTGTGGTGAAGGCCTGGTGTGGGGAGAAAGCCAGGTGGAGAGGGGCAAAGGTGAGTGGGAAATGGGGACATCTGTAATACCCTCAACAAGGGATCCTGCACCACTTTTCTCTGAAAGAATTCAGAGCCAAGATCCTTGAGGTGGGTGATGTGATAGGCAATTAGACAGACATGAGCAGAGTAAGGATGATGATCCAGGTAGAGAAGATCACCAGGGCAGAAAGCCCCAGCTGCCTAGCAAAGGACAATTGTAGGGTCAGATCTTGCCCCCAGGGTGGCCTTTCCTTCCCTAGCATATGCTGGTTGCTGGTCGTAAGGTCTGGACCCCCTGACCTTTCCTCCCTAGAGATAACATCTGGACCTCAGTTGCATTTCATCTCGAGGCCCAGAAAAGCAGCAAAATCAGACCAGTGACACCAAGGCTGATCTCAGGACCAGCTGCATTGAATAATGACCCCCTGTTCTGGCAATCAATCAGTGGAGACCTAGACCCTGAAAGGACATACCTGAAAAGCTGCTGAATATTCCATTAAGATCTTCCCCTGGGACCTCCCCTCAACTCTCCACCCTTAAACCCTTAGGACAGAGGACCCAGTGGGCCTTTCCTCCTGGGAGCATGCCCATGCCTTTCCCTTTTCATTTTCCTTTTCCTTTCCCTTCCCTTTCTCCCTTCCCCTTCCCGTCTCCCCTAGGTGCATTACCATCAGCTTCCTCACTCGCAAGCTCCAAGGGCCCTTCCTTTATCTCTGTAACATGTTTCCTAAACCCATTTCTTCTAGGAATTACTTTTTCTACCTCTATGATTTTATAAATAAACTAGAGGCCCAGTGCACAACTTTGTGCACCTTGAAAGGAACTGTGGGCTGCGAGGCTGTGGTGGGCACAGGGACGGGTTTCAGTCCATCCTCCGTACCCCCACCTGGCCCCTCCTGCTTTGGTCCCTGGTCCCCTGTCTAGTGGCAGACCCGCTCCTGCTGCCTCCACTCCCATGCACTGAAGGCACCGGACCCTCTTGCACCCACGAGTGATTGCGGTCAGTATCATCAGTAGGTGTGAGCTGCAGCTGCTGCCCTGATTGCCCCTCAGGAGCAGGGGAAGGTGGAGAAGCCCTCAGGGGCAATCAGGGCCAGCAGCCACCACTCGCACCCGCTGATGGCACCAAGTGATTGTGACTGGCGCTGGGAGAGAGCAGCAGGTGCAAGCAGCAGCTCCAGCGCCAGCTATGGGTGCGAGCGGGGCTGGTGCCGGCAGCAGGTGCGAGTGCCAGGTGAGATCGCAATGCGCAGGAGCAAAGAATTTTCAATAACCACCAGAGGCTTGCCCCAATGACAGTGACCAGCGCCCCGCCTTGGTCTGGCACCCCAGCTCACCTGCTCCACCATCCCGCCGCAGCCAACGCCCGCCATGTTCCACGTGCGCTCCCTGGTGGTCAGCACACGTCATAGGGACCAATTGTTCAGTTGTTCAGTTGTTCTGCTGTTTGGTCTATTTGCATATTTGCCTTTTATTATATAGGATGTTCTCTTATTTTAAAAAATGCATTTGTGGGAGTCACTGAAGAATCATCATCAAAACCTCTCCATTTCCCTATAAACTCCTTACTCCTATTTTTTTTCCTTTCAAAATTGGTCTTTGTTTATACTTTAATCAAAATTTTATTAGGTTGATATTCCCAAAGTTTATCTTAAAAAGTAATATAAATATAATCAAATTTTATAACTAGAAATGGTGCTCCAGTCTGACAATTGGGTTAAATTATTAAGATAAATTCTTCCAGAGTTCTACTCTTAATACACATACTCTCTCCCCTCCACCTTCCCACCCCCAGGAAGCATATCCAGTCACCTTCACCATAAAGTGAATCTGTTTCTCTGTGGAAGGAGGTGGTCCATATATAATAGAAATAGCACCTAAAGTATGAAAGGAGTGGGACCAGGAAGGCTGGAGAAAAGACACAAAAAGAGGGTAGAGGGGCACATAGGACCAATTTGAAAAACATGTAATTTAACCTAGGGAGGGTTTTGTGTTACATTTATATTGCTCTTATACTAGACTAGAGGCCCAGTGCACAGATTCATGCACATTGAAAGGAAATTAATTAGAAGAAATATTTTAGAGGCCGGGGAGGGACCATGGGAGGGCTTCAGGGCATGTTTGGCCTGTCTCGCCCAGTCCCGATCAGCCGGACCCCAGCAGCAAGCTAACCTACTGGTTGGAGCGTCTGCTCCCTGGTGGTCAGTGCACGTCATAGTGACTGATCGAATGGTGGAATGAACGGTTGGACACTTAGCATATGAGGCTTTTATTATATAGGATATTTCAATAGAGTGATGTGTTTTTTTATGTCTTAGTTCAATATTTTCCTTATCTTTGTAGATAGTGCTTTATTTCTAGTTATAATAATCAGCTCATTATTGAAAAACTGGAAATACAGAAAGATATCAACCGAAGGACTTGTATACATGTATATAAGCCATACCAATGGACATGGACAACAGGGGGATGGGAGCATGAGTGTGTGTGTGGGGGAGGTTGGGGGTTAATGGGAGGGATGAGGACACATTTGTAATACCTTAACTAATAAAAAAAAAAAAAAGAAAAAGAAAAAAAAAAAAAGAAAAGAAAATAAAAGACACTCATAATTCTACCACTCAAATACAATGTACTCTGTGTTTAAAGATCTGTTTAATTCATACAAATTTCTGGATATATAGCTTCCTATCTCCTAGCTCCAGGCTGCTTCAGCCTTGCAACTTCTAAACTCTGAGCTCAGGCCTGACCTCTGGTGTCTATATATTTCCATTCAGCTGCTGTTTTATTTAGAGCCAGAGCAGCAAAAAGCAGGTTCAGCAGTAGTGAGAGGGGAGAGGAAAGGTCATATTAGCTCTGTGTGTGTGTGTGTGTGTGTGTGTGTGTGTGTGTGTGTGTATTGTTTAACATATTACAAAAAGTAGTACATATGTCTCCTTGATTCCCCATTGACCTCCCTCCGGTCTCCTCTATCCCCCGGCACATGCCCTCACCCCCACCCCCACCCCAGTGTCTTGTGTCCATTGGTTATGCTTATATGCATGCATACAAGTCATGCACATGCACAGAAGAGTCTCTTGCAGAAGAATGTCAATATTACACTCTTGTAGACAAACATTAAAGACAGCAACTCCCTGCCTCAGGTTACATGCAGACCAGGGTAGATACTTCTATTCAGATAAACAGGAAAGGCTTTTCAGCTTGTGCTTATAATAAATAGGTAATTGGAGGGGCTATACCTTCTAATCCTCATTGCATCCTTCCAGAAGAGTGTCATGGGTAAGATATTGTGAGCTCATTTGTGCCTGGCTGGTCCCCATTCCTCCCTCCCCAGTGTTCAGTGTGTGAGCCATTACGGCGTGATGGTGTGATGACAATTTGCATATTAGCTCTTTATTATATAGGATACACTCCAGCAATATATGAACAACTGTCTCATTGCATTAATCATTGCTTATTTGAAAGACCAAAAATGGCATCTCATTTTAATTTTTATGTGTTTGAAAACCATGGAGGTTGGGCATGAGCAAGATATTTAGAATAAAATAGTGATATTTATATCACTAGCAATCAGGTTGTATTTGAAACAAAATTTTATATCATATATTTTCCTGATGATTTCCATTTTATAAAAAACACAGGGGGCTGCCTACTTCAAAATGAACTGTTAATACTCTAATCTTTGTCTTGATGGTGGTGTAACTGACTGTATATATGTTGTTACACATTCTAGTCTCTGTATTATGCTCCTTTCCTGGCCTACTGAGGTATTTCATCCTCATCCATAGTTCTTTTTTTCTCTGATATGCTGGGTTCTCTACTTCCATTGTCAAATTCCTTGGTACAGTTCCAACAATATTTACTAGGAATAAAAAGCAGGAAAGTTTACTAACATTTCTGAATATCTACTATATGCCAGGCACTGTGCTAAAAAATGTTATATCATCTAATGTATTATATTCAGAGAGGTAAAGTGACTTACTTACCCAAGCTCATCCAACTATTAAGAAGCAGATTCAGATTTTCAACCCTGGAGTATCTGATTTAAATGTCCATCATCTTCCACTATATCATAATGCCTATAGGATAAACTGAACATACTAAACTCTTCATATTTATGATCCAAACCACACAAGTGTTAAACCAGAATGAAGAGGTCTAGATAATGATAAAATTAGTATTGATGACTTCCCAGTTTTAGTGCATTAAACTTCCTTATGTGAAAAGCTTCCATCTTCTTCTTGTTCCTTCCATTTGCTCCCCCAATACTTTTATATTCTACTAGAGGTTCAGTGCATGAAATTTGTGCATGGGTAGGGTCCCTAGGCTTGGCCAGCGAACAGGGCCAATCAGGGCCTCCTGGCTTCCAGCTGGGGCCTCCCTTCCCTGGCTGCTGGCTGCTGGCCAGGGCCTTCCTTCATTCTGTGCTGCTGCCCCCTGGTGGTCAATGCACGTTATAGCATGCGATCGAACTCCCAAGGGGACACTTTGTATATCAGCCTTTTATATATATAGATATTTCTTACTCACGGTATTATCCTGGCTATAGCTGAGGTTTCAAAGTTCTCTTGGGAAGTCTTTTCCTTCCAATAAACATTGAGTTTCTGGGCAAGGGCATTTATTGTCAACCTGAAAGAAGAAGTATGTCAATGTTGAGAATTTGTTGAACAACTTTGTGACCATGAGATGCTCTCATTTAACAGAAGCCAATAATTTAGAATATTCAGCATAGGTTTGAATATCTACATTTACAGGAACTAGGATGGGAATCCAACACCTTGCAAATTACATGTCAAAATGACAGTCAGAATCCTGAATAGTTACATTGATTGAAATGGTAAAATGGTTATGTCCTAAAAAGTACTGTTCTCTAAAATTTCAGGGCTTTTAGAATCATGGGGAGTGGGGAGTTGATATTAGAAAAGTCAGAGGACTAAATTTCAGAGCTAGGACAAGCCAAATATGATTAAGTTATTTGATTGTCAAATGAGTACAGGTAAATAAGTCAGGTCCAAGCTGAAAGTCAGAGGAACAAAAACTGTACCCTATTACAAGTCAATCAAATATTAAATTTAAAATGTTCCTCTTTATGCAAATGCTGCTCAGAGCAGTTATAGTATCCATGGGCAACAAAATTCTCTTCAACCTTCTACTACGCAGCTGTTAGTGGAAGCTATACCCCAGTTCTGGCTATTGTTCTTTCTCTCTTCCCAAATTAACAACAGTAGACCCAGGGTCAAAATATGTAATGTGTCTAAGTCAAACCTGAAATTTTACTTTTAAAAAACTGCCGATTGCTAATGATTGATTCCTATTTAATTCTACAACCCAGGATTACAACTTCATGTACAACTGTACACACCTGCAATACTACAGAATTAGTATGTCTAAAATCTCTTGACTCCCTGGATGGTTTCCCAAGGTTTTTACAGACCTCTTTTCTCCTTAAGAGGAAATGTTCCTTACTTGCACCTTACTCATATTAAATTAGATTCTGAATACACAGAAAAGATTAAAGTAATCATACATGAGGTTCCTCCCCTAAACCTACCAATGTTCCTACCTCTGTTTATATCCTCCCCTAAAGTCACAGATGGAGAACTATTCCTTGTTTTCTCTTAAAATTCTACTTTAAATCTACTTTAAAAAGAATTAACTTAGGATTCTAGGAAAATGTTGAAGTAGAAGGCACCAAGAATCTTACTTCCCCACCTAGGCAACAATTACATTGGCAGAATCTATATGGTGCAACTATTTGGAACTGTTAGGTCTATTAAAAGCTTGCAACTTCCAAGGGAAGGCTTAGATGGTAAATTGGCAAATTTCAGCTCTTAGCACAGTAGTAGCTACACCCCCCACCCTAGCCCAGTGACAGGCAGCTGTGCACACATTCTAAGAGTAGATTGTAGGAGCCAGGACGGGCAAAAAATGACTCTGTCCTTCAAATATCAGGGAGCTGTGCTCTGATAGCTGTTTGCTGCTCCTGATCATAGGATCATGTAATCCCCATGGCAACCACAAAGAAAACAGCTATAAAATATGTACAAAAGAAAATGAGAAGATTTAAATGTTTCACTATGAAAACTTAACTGAACATAAAAGAAGACAATAATGCAGGAAATGAGGGTCACAAAATCTATAAAGCATAAAGAAAACAAATAGCAAAATGACAGAATTCCTTCCTTATCAGTACTTACTTTAAATGTAAATAGATTAAATTCTCCAATCAAAAGACAGAGATTGGTAGAATGAGTAAAAAAAAACAACCCAAAACAAAACACGATCCAGCCCTAGCCAATTTGGCTCAGTGGATAGAGCATCAGCCTGTGCACCAAAGGGTCCCGGTTCAATTTCTATCAGGGCATGTACCTTGGTTGCAGGCTCCTCCCTGTCCCCAGGCCCTGGTCAGGGATCATGCAGGAGGCAACCAATCGATGTGTTTCTCCCTGTCTTTCCTTCTCTCTTCCATTCTCTCTAAAAGTCAATGGAAAAATATCCTCAGGTGAGGATTAACAAAAACAAACAAAAAATAAGTAAGTAAAGGTGATTAAATGTCTAAAAAAAAAACATGATCCAAATATATGCTCTCTACATGAGACTAAATTTAGATAGAAAGACACAAGTAGGTAGAAAGTAAAAGGGTGAAAAAGGATATTCCATATAAATAGTAACCTAAAGAGAGCAAAGATGGCTATACCAATGCATAGTAGACAAAATAAAGTAGTCCCCTCTCCTCATCTGCAGTTTTGTTTTCTGCAGTTTTAGTTACCTGCAGTCAAATATGGTCCAAAAATATTAAATGAAAAATTTCAGAAATAAACAATTCTTAAGTTTTAAATTGTGCACTGTTCTGAGTAGTGGGATGAAATCTCACACTGGCCTGCTCCAGCCCACTAGAACACAAATCATCCCTTTTTAAACCATATTCATACCATATTCTATATAATAAAAGCCTAATATGCTAAGTGTCTGGTCATCCGTTCAACCAATCAAAACATAATATGCTAATGATATGCTAAGGCCACTCAACCGCTCACTATGACGTGCACTGACCACCAGAGGGCAGATGCTACAACTGGTGGGTTAGCTTGCTGCTGGGGTCCAGCCGATTGGGACAGAGTGAGATGGGCCGGACACAATCTGGAACCCTCCCATGGTCTCTCCCTGGCTGGCCAACCTCCCGCATCCCTCCCTGGCCCCAATAGTGCACCAGTGGGGTCACTCGGCCTGGCCTGTGCCCTTTTGCAATCCAGGACCCTTTGGGGAATGTTGGAGAGCTGGTTTCAGCCCAATCCTGCAGGCCAGGCTGAGAGACCCCACTGGTGCACGAATTTGTGTACTGGGCCTCTAGTGTAGAGTATAATAAGACTAGTGACCCATTGTGTGAGATTACGCGAGACCCGGGACCCCTCCCCCCACCCCCTGGGCCATGGGACCACCCCGAGTCCCGGAGTCCCGCCCCGCATGGCTGGCACGCTGCGGGATGGCCCCGAGTCCAGGAGTGCCACCCCGATGTCCCGCTTCCGGGCTACGCAGAGTGGGAACCAGGCCCCACCCCCGCAACGGCACGCAGGGCCACGGAAACCCCGGCAGAAGCAACGCAAAGTGGCCACTGGGACCCTCGCGCCCTCATGGGGCCACAAGAACCCTGGCGTAAGCCACGTGGAGCAGCCGCCAGTCCTGCCCCCACTGCCCCGCCTCCTGCTGCTGCAAGGAGGTGCCCCTCCTCCCGCCTCCTGCAGCTGTGAGGAGGCACCGTGCCTCCCACCTCCTGCTGCTGCAAGGAGGCGCCCTTCCTGCTGCCTCCCGCAGCTGTGAGGAGGTGCCCTGCCTCACTGGTGCAACCACAGGAACCCCAGCAGCAGGTACACTGAGCAGCTGGCCCTGCCCCCGCTGTGTGCGCCGCCATCTTGTGACGGCATTACAGAGTGAGGGTTAATTTTCAGATTACCTCTTTATTATATAGGATACCTTGAGAGCAATCACATCCACATAACTTTTATTATAATGTATTGTTATAATTGTTCTATTTTATTGTTGTTAATCTTTTTCTGTGCCTAATTTATAAATTAAACTTTATCATACTTATGTATGTATAGGAAAAAACATACTGTATATAGGGTTCACTACCATCCATGGTTTTAGGCATCCTTTGGGGGGGTCTCGGAATGTATCCCCTTTGGATAAGGAGAGCTACTCTAGACTATAAATCACGATTGCTAATATGTGGAAGCAACCAAATGCCCATTAATGGTTGAATGGAAAAGCAAAATGTAGTGTATATATACAATGGAATACTATTCAACCTTAAAAAGGGAAAGAATTCTGATACATGCTAAAACTTGGATGAAGCTTGAGGACATTATGCTCAATGAAATAAGCTAGTCACAAAAAGACAAACACTGTATGGTTTAACTTATGTGAAGTACTTATAGTAAAAAAAAAAGAAACAGAAAGTGGAGTGGTGGTTGCCAGGGGCTGGTGGGGTGCATGGGGAATTACTATTTAATGGGTATAGAGTTTCATTTTGTAAGATGAAAAGAGTTCTGGAGATGGATGGTGGTGATGGTTGCTTAACAATATAAATGTACTTAATACCAATGAACTGTACACTTAAGAAGTTAAATGGTCATTATGTGTATTTTGCCACAATAAAAACTATGAAAAAAAGGAAGTAGATATATGGTTGCCAGAAGATGAAGAGAAGGAGAAATGTGGAGTGACTGCTAAAGAACAAGGAATTTCTTTTGGGAGTTATGAAAATGTTTTGGAGTCAGTGATAATGTTTTCACAATTTTGTGAATATACTAAAAACCACTGAAATGTACACTTTAAATTGGGGACCTTAAGATATGTGAGTTATATCTCAATTAAAAATAAAAATAAAAATAAACATCTGTTCTCATGTACTCAGTTAAAATTTATTGAGATAAAATTTACATAGAGTAAAATTCATCTTTTTAAGTATACACTTCTATCAATTTTGACAATTGCATGCAGTCATGTAACCACCACTTCAATTAAGTTATTGTTCTTATTTATTTTGAAATCCTATTCCTTCTGACAAAAACTATGGCTTTACTGTTGATGTAAAAAAATTTAATTTTACCTGGCTGGGTGGTTCAGTTGGTTAGAGTATCGTCCCATACATCAAAAGGTTGAGGGTTCGATTCCCAGTCAGGGCACATACCTAGGCTGTGGGTTTGATCCCTGGTGGGGGTGCATATGGGAGGCAACCAGTTGACGTATCAATGTTTCTCTCTCACATTGATATTTTTCTCTCTCTCAAAAAAAAATCAATAAAAACATATTCTCGGGTGAGGATTAAAAATGTAATTTAAAATCCACGTATAAGTTCAAACCCACATTGTTCAAAATCCATACATAAGTGGATCTGTAAAGTTCAAACCTGCGTTGTTCAAGATTCAACTGTAATTTTGATTGCAGTTGGGAAATTGTATATCCCGAGGGCTGACTTAAGTTGTATGCAGGTTTTTAAAAAATATATTTTTATTGATTTCGGAGAGGAAGGAAGTGGGAGAGAGAGAGATAGAAACATCAGTGATGAGAGGGAATCATTGATCAGCTGCCTCCTGCACGCTCTCCACAATGGGGATCGGGCCTGCAAC